GCATAATTTGTCGTATCTGAAAGAAACGTCGTAAACACGCCCTTAGCATGCATAGTATTCCATATTGGGTTCAAGACATTACTTTTATTTTGCTCTCTACTAAAAGCGGTTGTTTTCCTGATAGGTTCTTGTGTGGCACAATTCGAGCAAAGGGATATTTCTAGAAAAAAAATGTTTTCCTTTCAGGGTAAGAACAAATTAATGTTTATATACGATTTTTTTTATTTTCTAAGATTATCCAATATATTGGTTTTTTTTTTAACATTTCCCTCATTGTTGCTGAAGAATAAAAGGTAATTAGCTGGGATTTTTTGTCCTTGTAAAATAATTGGTAAATATTTGAAGAAACCGAAATTTCAAGCAAACTTCTCATCTTGTTAATTAAGAAAAATAAGTAGAATTAAAATATCTTGAATATTTTTTATTACATTTTTGAGTATGACATTTTATATGATAAATGATTAGAATTGAGGTTTCAAGATGAAGCAAATTACAATTTCTCACATTTACATGCATTTTATTTACACTTGCTTTGGCCTTCAACTCGACATTAAGATATATCTTCGACGTATTGTCAATAACAATTGTAATTTCCATTCTTATGTCGATACGATATATCCTGGTCAATATGAATATTTTTCTGGTGAATAACAAACCATATTCAACACCAAAAGAGTCCATAATTGTTTTATTATATAGTCGGGATTTGAATAGATAAGACATTGAAGGCAGTATGACGACACAATTTTCATTAGCAATATTCCATTGTTAAAAATGAAAAAAAAATCTCCAGATTACTGTTTGTAACCTCCTTGTTTTCCTTTCCGAGTTTCGCTATGTGTAAGATGTCAAGATGTTAAAAAATAATCCTGAAATAGGTTTAAATAATTGTTTTCCTGCTCATTTACGTAGCTCGCTGTGGCCGTTGCAACCATTGTTTACAACGTTGTTCGATGTTTTGATTGTGACGTCACAATGCCGCTGCACGCGCATTGACCCTCCGGTGAATACGGCCTAAAATCCGGTGAATATGTAGTGTTATGAAATGTTTGTGTTTGTATAGATTATATAGGGACTATAAATAGACTATATAATAATTTGAATTCTTTCCTTAAGGATGACGTTTACTCAGGCAATGGTATTAAAATTAGATGTTAGATCCGCTTGCATACTCGCTGTTTCAGAAAACAGATAAGAAATTTTTGATTTAATATTTTATTCTTTATTTAACATTCTATGAAAAAAATGCTCAAAAATCCACAAAGAAGCAAGATTTATGAGGGACTATTTTTTGTGGTGCAAGGGTATTTAGCAGAAAATTAGGATGCTTTTAATGTATTTATCCTTTTTTTCTTTCTAACAATATTCACTTTAAAACGTGACATTTATTCGTGACGCGGCGACACCCCTGATGTTTAATGTTTTAAACGTCTATAAAATTAATTTAATAAAACATTATGAAATGAAACTTTCAATTTTGATTAGATTTATGTTGATGTATCTTTTGGTACATTATTTTTGATAATATGACGACAAATATTATAGATATGGACACAGTGACATTACTTTTGGATCAACCCGCGTATTTGTAAGTCCATTACTTATACACTGAACTGACGACGGATTTTTGCGTAATTCTTCCGCTTTTTATACTGAAATTACGCAGTTACGTTATTTCTATTAATTTTACGCTTTTGAAATTTTGGTTTAAAAATCTTTAATTCTTCATTATGTGTCGGCTAACGGGAGGGGGGATAAGTTACAACTCCAACATTTTTCTGTAATATTTTTACACTAACTTTTAAAATACATCAATTACATTAGCAAAGAGTGTGGGGGTTTCGACAATCATTTCTATAGTAACAAGAATAGATATGGGTTACCCCATATCCAAAGATATTCGACTGTTAGATTTAATATGTTTAACAGTGTTTATAATGACGTTAATAAAAAAAAACTGCACTGTCTAATTATGGAACTGTTGTAAATATCGTGATTCCATAGCATTACGGTCACTCAGTCTCCTAACAAACAGTACACATAGGCCTACATGTACCTATAGCCTTGGTCTACACACGTGCAATGGAGCTGTCACACGCATCCAGCGAGATCGGAGAAACACGTTTTGTTTTGCCGAGAAGTTACGGTGTCAGACAAAACTTTTCTTTTCTTAATTAGATCATATAAATACGAATTCTGATTAATAAAAATTATACAATCCCTGTTGAACTTTATATAGTTTGTTCTAACATTTGCATCTGCAACAACTTGTGTTTAAAATGGCCGGGTTGGGAAAATCAGGACCGGGTCGGAAAATTCTAAACTGAATTTAAAACATGGAAAACCTTTTTTGTTTTGAAAATAACTGAAATATACTAATATATTTGTCGCAGAAATTACTTACATTATTCAAGTTCTATATATAATGGTATGCTGAACTTCAACACGAACCCGAATCTCCAACCCATGCAGTTCTCGTTTTGCCACACATACCCTACAGTTTACGAAGTGTACACACAAGCAGGCCAGGGATTGAAAATTCCGTCATTTAATAATACACACACACAGAATGATTAATTTTTTCTTTAAGAACAAATTGTATGATAATTAACGGACTATAAACATGTACTTAATACAATTGTTGATATAGTATTATCAATTCATTGGTGAAAAGATATGAATCGAAGAATGACCTAATTATTCTCTGTTATCAAACACGTAAAAAGGCTCAATAAAAAAAAGGAGGGAGCGAGCGTAGGAATATTGATATTTTTTATTTGCATTTCGGGGGGAAAGTGACTTTCTAATGATATTTTGACGTTATTTTTGATTTCTTTAACGTATGACATACACAACTTTACTCTTATCATGAACAATAATGTTGTATCTACTTATCATGATGGAATTATTTTGGTCGGACCAATATGTGTGAGCTGCCGCTGAAAACAGTTATATATCTTGCAAAGATAGTATGCATTGATCGAATATATAGAAAAGGTTATGTCTGTTTGTGAAACAATATGCGCCCGGCGGCAAAAAGGCCAAAAAGCTATTTTTAGAATATAGGTCACAGTCAAGGACAAAAAGTCATTGATACTGGTGACATTAAAAAAGAACTTAATTAGTGGAGTATGCATACAAAATATGAAGTCTCTAACTCCTATGGTTCAAAAGTGATGGCGAAGGTTAACGTTGACAACAGACAGACAGATAAACAGACAGAACAGAAACAATATCGATTCGGACGCATAAAAAGGGAGTATTTGATATCGAGATGGCAAGAGAAATAGTCTGTTCCGATTTACAGAAAAAAAAAAACTTCTAACGGCAAAATTAAGAGAAAATTAGAAAAATTGGATGTCCGCCATTTTGAATCGCCATTTTGACCTCTTTAATGCCATTTTCATGAAAGCCAGCATATTTTTTTCGGATCTAGCATACTCGAAATAGGTTAAAAAACTATGCTGGACCAAACAATAATTATTTGCCGTTAGAAGTTATTTCTAGCCTTCTTTTGAAAAATCAGGACCAGACCAAAATAAAATGTGAAAAATTCTAAACATTACGATTAGAGCAAACCTTTTCGGCAATCTCTAATCACCCCTACTAATCTTGTCGGAATTTTATTTTTCGGTGTTCTGCAAAATATAAAACCCGATGAGTTCAGAGTAGCTCTGGCAGTGGCTCTGGCGAGAGTTAGCGAGACTACAGCGAGATAGGATAAATTATTCACGGAAATGTGGCTAGGAAGTGTCTAGCACGTGGAAACATGGTAAACAGAAAAGTTATGTAGCGTTTCAGGTTTCACCACCCTATAATATCTGTTTTCACCACTCTATAATATATGTCTAGTTAGTACGTATTTTATAGACCATCGCATGAACACGTGCAAGTTCTAATTAAGGGTGTGCATGAGTCATGAAAATATAGTTTACGGTAAATTTTTATTAGATATGACGAGTCTTCAATATCAAGAATATTGCTTTAATATCTGATTTATACCAAGTCTAGCTTATTTCTTATCAATAAATTTTCCGTTTTTCGTTCCGTTCCGCGTTTCAGAAACACCCGGCGATTTTGTGCAGTATTTCGAAAAGTCTCTTAATTGTCCGTTACGTGATCAACAATCATGTGACATTACAGAAATGCTTTACAATAATTCTTGATTAAATTCCCGTGAGCGGGCTGACAACTTCACTGTAAATTCATACCAAAATTGCATAATGAAAATATATTCTAGCCCCCCCCCCCCCAAAAAAAATCCGTATTACATGTAAGCCTATATATTTCGTCTGCCTTAACATAGCTGTATATCACGAACATTATGTGTTTATTTTTTATGCTAAGTACACTGAAGGAATTTTGGTTAAATCCGCATGCAACTGAAACAGGTGTTAAAAAAATACTGTCCGAATTGTGCAAAACTGATTGCCAAGTATAGCATAAAGGTAGAATTGATGGGAAAATTACACATTTGCTAGAACATATAGATTTAATATCGCTCGTATTGCTCATATATAAAGGATATCGAATACTACCTGTTTATATTGATCAGACTGGTTTTCAAAAAAAGTTTTTCCACACATCGATATTTTATCACGGGGACAACGCCATATAACATATATTTATGACATTCAATATTTTTCCGTACATTATACTTTGCCTACGAGTATGTTTAGGGATCTTGATAATGAGCATGACTAAATTAACTCACTGAAAGGTTTGATAATCAAGGTTTAATTATGAAATTTATAACTTATATACTAGTACTTTCTATTTTTTTTATTTTAAGTGATTTAACCTAAAAATATGCTTTCCGTTCCGTTTTCTGATTTACTTTAAGCAACATTCAGGGTAGCCAAGTAATTACCTGGGGGAGGGAGTTATGCCAAAACAGATCACTACTTTTATCAATTTAACTCCTTCCTTTTTGCATAAAATGAATAGTAAAGCCTGTAAAGAGATTTTTCTTTTATTATTTTATTTTCTTTCTTAAACAGGAAACTTGAAAAGAGTGCTGTGCGCATGCGTCTACATAATGACGCTTTTATTACAAGCTTGTCCTTATCCTGAAGGAACGACGGAGAGGACAGCCGTTCCATCTGAGAGATCCTTGCGTTTAAAAGTCGCTGCAGATTTCTTTCCTTCTAATTCATTATTGTTGTCCGAAAATGGAAGAAATGACTCAGCGTCTGAAGCACGATTCCAAGAGGTATTTAAAAACATTAGAAAACAACTTGAAAGATGTTTTAAAAACGGGTCTTTGATGTCTGAATGCCTTCTCCTAGTTCAACCAAATACCACCTTCAAAGTAGGTAAAAAGGATAACTCGTTGGATACTTTTTTCAAAGATTTGTGTTCCTCAACTTCATCCGAACCCCCAATTGGTCGGAAAAATTCAACTCGATACATGAGAACAAGGTCGGAAAACTACATTCCCCACTTTTCCGAGAAATTTGACTTACTGACATTGTTAGCTTCGACTTTTTCTGGCTTAGGAATCATTTGTAACTTATCAACTATTATAGTGATTTTAGGGAATGCAAAGCTTAGAAAACCATTTTACTTGAGTATTCTAAGCCTAGCCGTTGCTGATGTATTGTATCAGGTCAATTTTATTCTCAATGAATTTCTAAAACTTCCTTCGAGTATCTGTGAAACTTTATGGTATAAAAACTTTTTTGATTTATCGACATACACAACGAAAATGTTTTCTTCCTTGAAATTTATGGTACTTTTAACATTGAGATACATCATGTTCGTGCATCCATTAAAATGCCGTGCCTACGTCACAAATCGTAAAATATATATCACTGCAGGTATTTGTTTGATTATAAGTATTGCATACGGGGTCCTTATCGTAGAAGTACTATGGTCTCTGAACATACCTGGAATGCATTTCTTGTTCATAGCAGATGACGGACTCATGCTCTTCGTTATCGTCGTTCTTAACATCTATTTTGTCGTCAATCAATGTAAAACGATCAGATCATCGTTGGCCGCCAGGAATTTAGAAAAACGGATGATGTTTATGGTTTTGTTAATTCTTTTTCTGAGAACTGTCGGCTCTATATTTTCTATTGTTCAAAGCACCTTTTCACATGGAACCAGGACGGAATCTGCTTGGAATTTCGATGACGATATCATTATGATTCATGCATGTAAGGTGTTGAGGGTTCTTATTTACTCGGTAAATCCATTCATTTACTTCTTCAGCTCTGCGCGTGTGTTAAAAGTATTTTCGTCTTGTTTCCGATGTCGTAATGAGTGACGTCTTCTGGAAGATTTCATTGCTGCTTATACGCACAGTTAACTATTTGTATGATGATTCTTTGTATGTTGCTTAACGTCCCTCTCCAGAATTGTTCCTGCATATGGAGACGCCACTACTTTCGACAGCTGCAAATTTTGGCCTATGCTCGGCACCTAGGGTCATTTAATAAAAGGGGTCTTTTTCGTGCAGGAACCTACTGCGACCTCAGTGTATACAGTCTCGTCCGAAAGACCATTCGTCATGTCCCACATTAGGGTTCGAACCTGCGACGTAAGGATCAATTCCTTACTTCGCGATTCTAGAGTACGATTTATACAAGTTGGCGATACACAATGTCAACAACCCTACTAGAGTCATCAGAATGCAAATAATGGGAATGTTATGACGCACATTGAGATGCTTAACACTAAATTTTTGTATGATTAATGTGAAGATTTATCATGCTTAAGGTAGCTTTAAGCAATATTGATCGGAATCGGATCAAACTGAAACTAAGAACATTGGCAGAGGGATCAGGTGCCAAGAAGGATATCATAACCTATTTAGTGAACTTCCGTTGTCATTTCTGATAATGTATACAAAACATTTTTATGGACCGAGATTGATAGATCCGAGGCGTATATTGTTTTTGTCTTTTCTGTTCGTTTGTCTTTTTGTCTGCAAACTTTAACCTTCACCATTACTTTTGAACCATGAAACATAGAGACTTCATATTTGATATACATACTGCACTAATTAAGCTCTTGCAAATGACACCAAGGTCAATGACCTTGTAACCTTGATTGTGACCTATATGCTTAAAATAGCTTTTTGTCTGCAAACTTTAACCTTCGCCATACCTTTTGAACCCTGAAGGATAGAGACTTTATAATTAGTATGCGTACTCCATTAATGAAACTCTTCCAAATGACACAAAGGTCAATGACCTTGTGACCTTGACTGTAACAATATGCTGAATATAGCTTTTTTGAACCTTCACCATAACTTTAATACCATGAGAGATAGAGACTTCATATTTCATACAGATAAATATTTGATATAGAAACCTCATATCTGGTATGCAAACTCCACTTATTAAGTTCCTTCAAATAACGCCAAGGTCAGTGACCTTGACTGGTACCTTTATGCTAAAAAAGCTTTTTCTAATTTTGTTGCCGCCGTGCGCATAGTGTTTCACAAACACATCTTGTTTTTTCTTGTCTAGAAAATGAACACTGCAAACTTACCTGGATCCTCTACGTCATTGATACAATAAATATAGATTGAAAAAATACTGCATACCAGAAATCGGATATCAAAAATTAAACAAAACCGGGTAAAACTGGAGTTGTTTACTTAACAATGTTTCTTAGTTACAATATGTTTGTATTTCTTTCTGTAGTGGATTTATATTTATGTATTTTTTATTATCTTTCTGCAAAATAAGAAAACATGTATGATTCCAATATTGAATGAGTGTGTGAGAAAGTGTGATTAAATGGCGTGTAAAAATTATTTAGCGCTTTATATTGTTGATTTGTTGTAATGATGCCTGCTGGGATCAGCCCCGGGCATGGTTTTCTTGCTCTCAGATGCCTGCTGGGATCAGCCCCGGGAGTGGTTTGCTGTTTCTTTGATGCCCGCTAAGATCAGCCCCGGGCGTGGTTTGATGTTTCTGTGATGCCTGCTGGGATCAGCCTCGGGCATCCATGGTTATTTGTTTATTGATGCCTGCCGGGATCAGCCAGGGGCATGGTTGGGTTACTTACACTCCTGGGATCAGCCCGGAGCGCCATCATTGTATGTTAGCCTCAGGCAGGTTTTCACCTTACTATTGCAGATAAGTCAATATTAGATTCAATTTAGATTTTTATTTTTCACTAGTGGTAAGAGTTGTTAAAGAAGGAATGAGTAGCCCCCAAGACGCCAAATTGTTAAATACATGTATTGTAATGTCAGTGTATGTATAGAATGTTATATTACAGCTTTGTTTTATATGTAGTTGTATTGATGTTTGAGGTCGTAAAGACCCAATAAATTCTAAATTGTACTCTCTGGTTAATTGTTTATAAATATAAATTTAATAGAATTAAATTATTATTTATAAACAATGTATTTTCTATCCCACTTTGTCCCTGTTTAACTATTGTTACTATTAAATATGTTATATAACATGAAAATTTGCATAATTCTGTTGTGGGGTAGCATTTCTAATTACAGAATTTTTGGTCAGATAGGGGAGATGACATTGACCAATGAGAATGGAGTAACCGGGGGCATTGATGCCTAGAGGGGGAGTCTGTTATTGTTCCATTTGCATCTAGACGCTTGTGTTTGCAGCTACCCACCCTCCATCCCCATCAACATCCCTGGTTCTCTATGGGGCTACTCGTCTATTCCTGGGGAATTCTACCCCATAGTCTATGTTTGTTTTTGTTCATAAGTATGATATATATTACACCTTTATCATGCATTTTTTATTCATGTACATAAGTAGTTGGTGAATTTTTTAAAGATTTAGACTAGTATTTAGTTTCCACTGGAAATTACAGAAATTTTGTTTAGGTCTGTTCTCAGATGCCTGCTGGGATCAGCCCCAGGCATGGTTTTCTCGCTCTCAGAGGCCTGCTGGGATCAGCCCCGGGCATGGTTTTCTCGCTCTCAGATGCCTGCTGGGATCAGCCCCGGGCATGGTTTTCTCGCTCTCAGATGCCTGCTGGGATCAGCCTCCTGGCATGGTATAAATAAATAAATCGCTCTCAGATGCCTGCTGGGATCAGCCCCGGGCATGGTTTTCTCGCTCTCAGATGCCTGCTGGGATCAGCCCCGGGCATGGTTTTCTCGCTCTCAGATGCCTGCTGGGATCAGCCCCGGGCATGGTTTGCTGTTTCTTTGATGCCTGCTGGGATCAGCCCCGGGCATGGTTGGGTTACTTACACTCCTGGGATCAGCCCGGAGCGCCATCATTGTATGTTAGCCTCAGGCAGGTTTTCACCTTACTATTGCAGATAAGTCAATATCAGATTCAAATTAGATTTTTATTTTTCACTAGTGGAAAGAGTTGTTAAAGAAGGAATAAATATCCCCCAAGACGCCAAATTGTTATATATTGTCGGTGTATGTATAGAATGTTATATTACAGCGTTGTTTTTACATGTAGTTGTATTGATGTGTGAGGTCGTAAAGACCCAATAAAATTCTAAACTGTACTCTCTGTTTAATTGTTTATAAATAAATAAATTAAACAAAAAACTTTGCTCCAGTTTTAAGAGGACAGTCATTCGAAAAACGGTATTCTCTGCATTTAAAGTTACATTTAACATATATGTTTGCTCCTATACGGCAGACATTTAAATTTAACTTGAATTTAAAAAAAAGAATTTTGATTAAGACAAGTGTATCATGAAACAACTTTCAAACAATTGAATTTGGTTCGTGTTTTAAACAACAAGCCATGAAATTCAGAATTTTGAAAGATGACATCATTGTTACCATAACTATACACTTAGCATGCTTTTTTTGGTTACTCAGTACTTAATCCCCAGAGGTAGATCAGAGTATCAAAGAGAAAATGCATTTCCACTTTAATTTATAACCACCAGTTGTGCAACCCTGCCCACAGGAACCACTGATCCTAGGGCCACATATTTCAGTTGATATTTTATCATAAATTTTATGTCATCATAAATGGTTGATCAATATCAGAGAGCAGATTTCAAAGCGTTAATTTATTTTCAATAGGCTTACTAAGTGATACCCTCGCCTCACATATGAATATAGTGGCAGTGTCCATGTTTTGCTACGGCAAACCCAAAATATGTGTCGGATCAAAAAGCGACGCAGACAGACGGACGTAAAGACTGGCATGCGGTGACGTCTCCATATGAGTGAAAAATTCTCGAGAGGGACGTTAAACAATATACAATCAATTAATCCAAACTTTTCTCATTCTCAAAGGATTGTCAATGTCCAAAATGTATATAAATGTTACGTTTTGTTTCCCAAATATGCTTAAAAATAAGGAGTTAGCAAACAGCCATTACAAAGAGTGGCGCACCAATCAAAATAATTGAAACAAACATGATGTACGATAAACTTGCAGTCCGATCTCAGATGCACTGGTGATTTCTGTGGTCGAAGAAGTGTCCTCCCTAACAAACAAAATTAGGTAATTCGAACAAGAAAGCAACCACCCAGCATATAAAACAAAGCAAAATGCTGGTGACACGCTTGAAAACTCTGTCATACACATGGTTGTGGCGCAGGTATATAAAGCGTGACATCGACATAAGGAACAGGCTGAAGAATGCACAAAATCAGGCAGTCAGACAAAGGCTCGCCACAAAAATACATAGCAGTTTCCTCCCCTGGAAAAACTGTTCTCCATGTGTGACACCTTAAATACAAATTATAGCGTAACTATTTTGTATTGATATAAAAAGACTGTGGTTTCATCAATATTCGTCGAGCACCAATTTTCGAGGAATTCGTTGTTGAGCAGATCCACATAATTAGATGTTCATTGAATTGAGATATGTGTTATTCATTTGTATAGACAATGCTTTCGTCCACGAAATTACGTCTCCTCGAAAATGTATATTTCACATAATCCATGAAAATTGATGGCAACGAACATTGATGAAACCACAGTAATTTAGCTTTAAACTCAGCTATTCAAAACAAAGATAAACATGACAAAATATTAAAATATACCAAGGATACACATGGGGTCGGCTATGGCAGTGACACAGAGATCCGCCAGTGCCAGGTTTACGGTGAATTCTTTCCCACGTTTGTTGAGGTCTCTGAGGACGGTCCATACCAGGATAATGAAAGTGTTACCAAGTGTCCCTACCAGTAAGGCCGTGCTGGTTATGATGATGTACAATACAGCTAGCCGCGTGTCAGTCTGTAAAAGAGGCGGTATCCTTTTCTTTATGGAACTGTTAAAGCTCTCGAGGTTATCGCGGGTATCGTTGATATAAAATGTTCCATTCTACAAACGAATAAAACGATGCTAATTGGTGCTGTTCTTTTTATGATTAATGACTGCATCATATGGACAAATGAAAACGAACATTCTTTTAAGGTATTCGATGTATAACCACCATATTTTGTACCCAGTAAATGAACAGTCCGATAATTTTAATCAAAGTAGCAATTTAAAGAGGTCATCAAATAAAAATGCTCCACCAAAGGAATGTACAAAATTCTGATTATTGTCCAATTAATTGCACCTTGAATTTTACATTGAAGTCTATAGGCAGCACATGTTTTTATCAAATATTGTAAAAAATGTAATTTGAATTTCAAACAAATCTCTTGGTGAAAATATGCATAAACTCCCTCTTTATTATACTATGAAATTTAAATTATTTACCACAGAAATTTTGAGAAATCAAAAATTTTCTTATTTTCATCAAGGGCAGATAACTCTTCAAAAACTTTTGAACGTGCAAAATGACTGTCTCCTTACATGTACATGTTATCAGCCGTGTGAATTTGGTTAATTTCACTTTTATCGTTATCTAGCAATGCATTTTAACTAGGTTAAAATTATTTCAAATCGTTCAAAATCCCTGCATTATATACATTGAATACCTTAATGAAGAAGAAAAGTACATTTATAGACGGATTCATTCAATAATCGAAGATTTCTTAATATTGAATATAAGAGTTTTTGACATTAACGGTATTCAACCAAAAAAAAATATTCCCGTATAAAATAAATGCAGTTTTCTCCCAAGACATTAGTTTAAACAGTAAAACTTTTAAAAATGTCTGTTATAAAGTCACAAGGGTGATTGTCATTGCTTTTTTTTTTTTTTTTTTTTTTTTTTTTTTACAATATTTAAATCTTAAAAAGAATGTTGTAATATTTAAGGAAAATTAATCTCAATATTTTATTGTTAGTCGACCAAAATTAAAAAATTATATTTGCTTTCCCTCTCCCGACTCGGGTAAAATTATTAGGTCGGTAGATACAATGTAGGT